TAGTACAAGAAACATTAGATCGTGCAAGAACAAACTGTACATCTATCTCAGTTGCTCATCGATTATCAACAATCAGAAATGCTGATTTAATTTGTGTGTTGCATGCAGGAACGATAGTCGAAGCTGGAACACATCTGGAGCTATTACAAAAGCACGGCCATTACTATAACTTAACTAGAGATTCACTTCGCTGAAAAAAGTGATTTCCACGATGTAACAGCAAAATGTGCGCTGAAGAAAAGTTAGCTTGTTTCATCAAGTAAAAATATTTCTTCTACTAGGAAAATCTACATAGACCTTGCCAATGGTGTACATCTTGTATGTAATTAAATTTTAATAATTTTCAATAAAAAGTCTTCCATGTAAATTTTGAAAGAAATAAAACGAAAAAGTATTTCGTTTAAAAGTAATTAATTGATCTTCTATCGGCCATGTATGAGTTGCAAGACTATATATGTATCTATTAAGTCTGCCTAACCTCGTTCTAGTTTTCGAATGGAAAGAACGTAAATTAACACCATGAGATGTATTATTACAGAGATTATCACAGATGAGTGAACCCGCAGTTGCCTACAGGATGACTGGGAACGGTTCCCGGATTTTTCAAAGGATATATGTAATTTGTTGATAATATAAAAATTCCATGTGCATTGAAGTATTTTTTGTGTACGGGGAAAGGACTGGTGTCTCAATATGCCTAAGATAGATAAGCAAGTAGCGTTCGTCACGTTCACTCATAGCGACAGTCTTGGTCTCAAATAGTAGTGGTTTCGAAAGGTATCCTGCATTGCATGATGTTGGGATTTCTCCATTCTCCTGTTCCTATCTGTTGGTTGAAGTTAAGAGAGCTAAATTTAAAAACTATGTTATATCTAGAAAATAAAGCTTATTTTGCACATATGAGAGAAAGTTTTAGTCACTTTTCTTCCACTAATGGTATTCATTTCCGATTCATGACATATCTTACTACATTCATAGTACGCTTACTGTAGAGAAAGCCAAGAAAATGATCATACAAAAGCAGTAAAACGTTTAGTTGATAATTGCCAGCCAAAGATGAACAAAATGCTAGTTTCGGCGATCCTACTACTTTCAGGAAAGTGACATCCAACATTTCGCACGCGAATCGAACGGATAAACGGTTTGTCTTCATACAGACGCAAGAATGAGCCTGATTCGCCCATTTCTGACGAAGATTCATTATATAAATAGCTCCAAAATGCACGTTAAAAAAGCTGAGAAAACAGCCACAGCGCTTTGGCGAAAAGCAGTACTGAAACAACGACACTAATGACGGAAAATTCGCATTTCAGCCACTCGATCGGTCATTTTTCTAAACAAACGGCGAACCCCTCGACAACTTACCTTTAGATTCCTGACAGAAACATTAGCAAAAGGACAGTCTTGAGTACAACAGACTACTTTTGATTATGCAAACACACAGCTACCTTTCACCAATACCAACGTTCAAAAATACCAAAAAGCAGAGGACACAGCGGACCAAAGTAAAACAGCTGTCTACAGAGACCAACCGTACATTGAAAGTGAAGCTTGTGATCAATAATCGTCACAGTGGGAGACATAGTTTTCCACTTCTCACTGGCTGAAGGGTTATTAAGTGATCCGTCCGTTATTGATTCTCTTGATTGAAAACCTACGGTGCAAGGAAAAGAAGGAGTGCGTGTTGTGAAAAATTCGGCAGCCAAAAATCAAATTAATTTATTTCGCCTTAGAAGTTCTTCAAATATTACTTTTTTCACTTATTAGTTATTTGAAAATCGAACAAACAGCTTTTTCTCTGATCAAACACGGGCTCCGTGAAAACACTGCGACTCATGCATCGATTTATATATGTAGCTTATTGTATTAAGGTTAAATAAAATCGTGGCGAGCTTGACAATATCATTAATTTCACTATTTTTTGTTTATTTTTATGTTGTTGTTCAGAAAAGTATAGCCAAATAGATTTCTAGACGGTAGTTTTATCGGATTATCTTACACAAAATAATGTCCTGGTCCATTAAAGTTTCCATCTAATCTGAGTTCACTCCAGTTTGATGTCCTTCAGAAAGCTCTCTTGTTTATTATGCAACTTCAAAGACAACATATGCATGAAGAAAATGAACAACGAATAAGTAAGCAAACACGAAAGACCTATTCTTAACTATGCCACTGTGAATGAACCATATTCAAAAGGACCATATCCATCGATAGTATGAACGTTGTTCACCCATGTTCGGTGCCGAATATTTCGCGGCCGCTTCGGGCAATTCTTCACCACATTGATAGCATATACACTTCTGATTCTGATGCGTATTCAATATCCAACCGTATTTACCCGAGAAAACATCGATCAGAAATTGGGGTTTATGTACACGTAACCCAGTGGCAACCACATCTAAAAAGTTATTTTCTCTGCCACATTTGAGACAGCATTTTTGTCTTGTTTTAATAACAGCGGATGTCGGAAAAAAGCCTGCTTTCACCTGAAGCAATTGTTCAATTATGACCATGTCATCTTTTGGTGTTTCGATCAACATGAAACCGTCGGATAAATCGTTGAAGAATTTGTCGTCTTGTGCCTTCCATTCTTCTTCACTCACCTGTCTTGTCATATTGACGGAATCATAACCAGCCGGTTTTGACCAATAATTTCCAACTGCCTGACGTAGTAATTCCATTGTCACTAAACTTGTCATAAGAACATTTAATTCTGCTAGTGTTATCTAAACAAAACCCGTTTGACTTACCTGTATGGAGAGAGTACACTTGTTTACTTGTCTATGCTCGAGAATGATTTCTGAGTGAGACATGGCGGATTTATATATGCAGACTATTGAAGAACTCATTTCCTAGAGATAATTTATCTTGCTGGGAATTTTGTTTTGTTTTTTACGGTATCATGTACACACACACTGCTATTGCGGAAGTGTCAATAGCTAGACGCAGAGCAGTAGAGAGCGGAAAGAATGACATACTGATGATATGGTATTATATATGTTTTGAGGTTATTTCCAACAATCATGTATAATGCTCTCAATTAGCAATGTTTCGGCAACTTGTCACTCATCCTCCTGCCAGTTCTGAGAGAAAAGAATAATTTTTTTGAAATAGATTTCTGGATGGTAGTGGTAGGGAAGATAGAGACCACTACACGGTGTTAGTAAAATGGGATAGGAAAGTAGCATGTGGAGGAGTACGAACGGGAAAGAAAAACAAAGAGAAAACGATAGAAAACTAGAACAATACAAAAAGCATTATATTCTATTAAAAAAACCTGAAAAATAAAATAACTACGGTGCTAGATTATAATGGTTCAGTACAATCACTTGGAGAGTAGTACCGACGGGAAAAAGCCGATACAGTCAGCAAAGAAAAAAAAAAGGAAAAAGGTACAGTAAAAAGTACGAGAAACAATAGAGGGCGAGCAACGAAATATTATGTACAAAAAATGAAAAATGCGGAAAAGGATGTAGTCAATGTTGTGTGAGCATATATCACTATTTCAAACAAAAGGAAGTGTTTTTTGAAATAGTTCGGAAAAGAGTTGTATGGAATTTAAGAAGAATATTAAAGTATTTTCGTTATCCGTACATACAGATATTTTTCACAAAAAATAAGATTGCAGTTCTATTGCGAAAACGTTGTGGTTGCAAGCTCTGAAGAGCGCGAACTTTGATTGTACTCCTTATTTAAAACTGTCCTTATTTAAAACTGTCCTTATTTAAAACTGTGTCTCAAGAATCTTTAGTATAATTAATAGAAATATCTTCACAAGCTGCTACATCAGACTCTACACTCAGCTTTTAATGTTATTTCTGATCATTAAAGTTTCAATTTTCGCTACTTCTTTCAGTGGTGATCGACACACAATCGTCGATTTTATCATGTCATTTGACACATATAACAAGCGAGAACTTTTAGGAAAAGAATAAACATTTTGTATCTTAAAAACTAAACCAACTATATTTCATACTTTTATACACTTATTAGTGTTGTAAAAACTTTTGTCTTTTCCTTTATCATTGCTGAGAACTCAATCGATGC